TATATACGAGCAGACAGACACGGCCACATTTTTAAGCTTCCACGGCAAATGGATCTCAATTGTAAATGTGTGGGTGGGTATGTGCAATATTTTTTAAATTATTTTCAAATTGGTACGAATCGTGCTCAATTGAAATGCGACGTTTTACAACGAATTCACATTATAAAATCGAGTTGAACATGAGTAAAGTGAGATAGATAAATCTACAATAATCATTGGTAAAAGTGTCAATGACTGAAATGAACTAACAGCTATAAAATTTACATTTCAACTGACAGAAATGTTTAACAATCCGCAAAAGTGTTAAATATTACTGTGTATTTATATATTTAATGTATCTTAAATACAAAATGACATAAAATGCTTTAAAATATTTTCGTTGCACTTAGATAAGGATTGCACTTATTGTCGTTTCATTGGACTCACTCGAATCATTACACCGGATTGCAGATACCTAAATCATCGTATTAAGAGTAAAACCAATTAAATGTGAATTGTCATTTGATAGTTTAATTTCATCCGTCAAAACAATCAACGATAAAATTCATCTCAGTTTGTCCATTTTCATCGCCACTGTAGTGTGAATATCCTTAGATTCAGGTGCATGGAAACATCAATGGAACGATATTTGAAAAAAACACATACAGACATCATATATATCATCTCAATGTCTTCTTCTTCGTCAGCTGTGTGAAATACTTCGTTGTACTTATCATTTGGAGATCACTATCTTTGGTGAGTGCATAAACTACGGCACTAAATTTTACACACAATAAAATTGCTCATGCAAGACTGTGTGATAATCGGTTTAATTGCCGACATTTGCATAAATTTAAATATATGATAATCTTGTGAAATCTTTTCATGTCCAATTTATCATGTGTGTTTGTACGTTTTCGGAACACACACGCAGAGAGAGAGAGAGAGAGAGATCTTCACTGAATAGAGAAGATGAATTTCACTTTCTCCAATTTCTAACCGTATCGCATTCGGCAGTTACTACATAATGAATAATGGTTCTAGTAACGATTACTATGTGAGCTTTTGAAACTCTGTGATGAAAGATGACGATATTACATTTACACGAGGAAAAGTATTGTAATGCATTTTGCCGAAATGTTGTGTTTTTCGGTGTATTGCTAATGTATATTTTTCATTCCTGTTATTTCATGTAATGTACACGAATCTTTTCTCATGTTTATGATTATGCCAATTGATTGAACATTTATATTAGTAAAGCGATTGTTTCTGTATGACTTAATGGCATCAGTGCTGAAAAGTTTGAATAACGAATGTAATTTAGTTTGTTTTGAAACCGAAATCAGTGACCCAAACACACACACACATCGTGAACGATAATGCCTGAAACTATTGTACTCGGTGAGTATTTATATTTTATATCACAAAATGTGTGCATTGGGCCCGAATGTTGGAACGCCTGTGAAGGAAGGAATTTGTGCCGGCATTTCGTGAGCTTGAGTCAGTTGTTGGCGTAGCACGGTAACGGTAATGGTATTTGTATTACGGATGCAGATGTTGGCAATGGAAATTTCAAAAAAAATATCTAAATACACGTGGCAATCTTTTTCCCTTTCATTTCTCTCGTTTTTCCTAGTCTCAAACAACATTGTGATACATGTTATTTTCTGTAGCCACAGGTGCGTTCAACGCGCAAAATATTCCAAAACTTTTTACTTTGCATTAAATTCAGATCGTTTGGTAATTTTCTGCAATGTGTGTGTGCGTGCAAGAAATTACGTTATACTCATTCCATTTGCATCAGATATGACTGCCATCAGTCAGCCCATCACACCGACACAGACACACACATTCGAATACAGTTTCTCTCTTTTGCACAATATTTTCCGGATTTGCGCTCACATACACACACACACCAATCAATAATCATTTCTAGCCATCCAGCTAAGTTGTTTGCTCATTTCCATTGATTTTTGTTTTTGTCATTGTTTATTCATTATTAAAGCACAGCGTGTCTATATGTTGTATTTTCTGTTTTGGTTTTTGTGGTTTGGCCGCTTGAACAAAAAAAAAACACATTAAGTGACAGGTAACATTTTTGTATGGAATAATCGAAGTGCTGCTTTTAGCAATGTATACGGATAATTCTTGGCAGAGTATAGAAAAGATCGAAAGGAAAAACCTAGTTTAAATGAGTCCGGAACGAGTGCACACACTAAACTTTTTTTTTTTGGGGGATGGAACCGAAAAATAACGTTTTCAATAAAATCATACACCATGGCTAGCTTTAACGCGACCACAAAGTGAAATTTATCAATATTATCGGTTTGAATTTGCTTTTGCGTATATATTTTTCATTTTTAAGTACAATTTGAAAATGACTGAAACATGCACGGGATAGATATGATATATATGCATTATCTACGTATCCTCATTTTTTCTCACTGTCTCTGACACCACAGTGCAGAAACAATTTCATGTGATGTATTTCTCTCTCTTAAGCTCTTCATACCATTTTGGTCTCGCTCTCTCACTAACATTCGCAATACAAAAATGATCAATTATTCAATTGATCCTAATGCATTGTTCGCTGTGCAATGAAATAAAACCAAAAAACTGCTGCACATCATATTGCAACCATGAAGCTTTAGTAATTTTAAACTGCTGTTCAAATGTTCATATGTGGCTAAATGCTTGCAATCTTTATGTTCAATTTTTGTGCATTCTCGAGAGAGCTCTGGGTTCCTCAATCATTGGCCATTTCAAATTCATGCATTTGAATTCAATGGTAAGCTTATTAATTTAGAAGGATATCGTCGTCTCCGAAATTCCGTAATTACTTTTTTGGACTAATGTGTCATTTTCTCAACGCAATCATTTTGCCAATGCTGTATATTCAATTCTAGTATTTATGTATGCATATGTATCTCGATATGTACATATAACAATTTGAAATTGAAATAAATAGCTATGTATACATAATGCAAAAATATCGATGGCTTTCTTAATGATGCTTGTGTACCATTGTTGAATGGCTAATGAAATCTTTTTGTTTGGATATGGTACATCATTAGCGGCAATGTCGACGGTCCGTTCACTCTTGCATTCACTTTGTTATTAGATTCGGCATGAATGTATCATAGAAAATTCGCACATAATTACCGTTCGCAAATGAGTTAACTCTACAGCCAATTTATTCCCGGAAATGGCATTTGGATAACTGTCATTAGCAGTCAAATCAAGGATGTACCAATGCAACAAAAACTATATATATCTGTTCATATATGCTTGTTCGATTTTATATTGTACGACACGCGTGCGCGCCCACCACAAATACCATTTCTATCTATTGCCATTGAAATTAGATAATTTAGTTTTGTTACGCTAACTACGCCGTTATGTATTTGTGAATTTAACGGTGATTTGGAATACTAACACATATCCGAATATTTTCAGCACAACGCTTAACACTCATTTCAAACTGCCAGAGATATGTCATCATTTCACCGAATTCAAATTAATGGTTAATAAAGTGACTAAATTTCAAAATTAATCGAAACGCTTTTTAATTCAAACGATATTTCTAATTATTGAACAAATCGAATGTGAAGTCGCCTATTGAAATGTCTTGAGCTGCAGTTAAAATGATATCAGAGGACACATCTCTCTCATCAATGATTTGAATATAACGTGTACATATTTGAATTCAAACAATATTGTATGAATACAACATTCAATTTTGTTCTATGACATGGTTGACATCACGTTTTAGATGAATTGATTGAACATCACTACTCGAATCCCATGTGTTTTGACATTTAATTTTTCGCCATTCGAACAGTTGAAAAGCGAATTTCAAAAGCCAATCGATTCAAAGGAACTGAAGACACTTTGATTGTATCCAATCCCCCGGAACGAACAAGGACTGTAAACCATTTCGTCAAGCTAACAAAACGAACCAGTTTTCACTAAATCTTGGGTCATACATTGTGATGGCGTTACGCTTTTGTATCCAACAAAATTTTCGATAATTTGCATTCTTCATTGAATGCATGCACCATACTCATCACGGATCCACTCTTCTGCTAAATAGCTCAAAGCCATTGTCAGTTTTAATGTGGAAAGAACGAATAGGCATATGATGCATATATCAGCACAAAACCTATTGAATAATGTCAAATTATCTGACAAATTAGGCTCCGAAAATCTAAATTACACAAAATGGCTTACCGACATAACTTTCCATCAACCCTCTGTGGATGAAGTCATCGACGAAGCAATTCTTGTGCAATCACTTGACTTTGTTTCCACTATATGCGTTTGTGTATCGAATACGCACTATCATCCATAAACCATTCCGACCCAGTTTATTAGCTAGTGTGTATTAGCGCATTATCAAAATGACGAAATTGTAACAAGCTTCATCAGATAATCGGATGAATTTCAGTAAAATTCAAGTCAACGAAAACCGCCTCAGTGAATTCCACACTAACTTATATATAGTTTTAATATACGGCAAACGATCCATAAATTAAATCATTAGCCGATATGTCGGTGTTTAGTATCGCTTACCATTCACACCCGACTACTGATCGTCGGCAATTTTGTTTCACGCCGACAATGTTTGTTTACCCGTACTGGTTTTCCCAAATGAAACCACCATTATTACACCATTTATATTAACATATGGGCAACCGTTTAACCAAAAGAAACTATTTAAATGTGATTTGTCTCGTATAAAACACTAGAGGTTATCGTCAACTTTAATTTTAGATGGCTTTATGTTCAAAATTAACCGGCTGACTAGATGTGAACATTTATATGTTTATCCACTATGATTCGTATCAATTCGGTTATATTTGACTGACTTTTTTGCACACAGGCATTTAGGTGTTGACAACCCTTCGGAGGTTGCGCCAACAACTATGCACACAGGTATTTTTAACTAAAAAGTAATACTTTTATAATAAAATAATGAAAATAACAAAAACAAAATAATATTCTATATAGTAATAACTTACTTGTAGAGTGGTTTGCCAGCACTTTCTCTGAACCATAATACCATGTATACTCGATCGTCTCTCACTTCTGGTTCAATATCACATGGTAACGATGTACTTCGGCCGAGTACTGCTTCAACTGTAACAGTCGACACTGCAAATGAAATATAAAAACAAATCGCGTTGTTTTATTTGGTTTGTTTAACAAATTGGCAATAAATTGAAACAAATGTTGTATGGTCATTGAAACATTTTCAAATTTCTACATATTTTAAAATAAAATCCATTATTCATTTATCCAAAATCTCTATGGAGAAAAGAGCAATATTTGTCTAATTAGTGTCGCAATACTATTAACAAAATTTTAATCCCAAATAAACTGATTCGATGATCGACGAAATTCCATAATCGATGAATATGTTTTCGAAATGTCACGAAATAAATGTTTAATGTCATTTGAAATTGGGCAAACAATGAGATATTGGCAGATTTTCAAATGTATTGCGATTGGGATGGCCCAAATGGGATTATATATTATATGGATATTTGATCACACATCAGTAACGCATATTCACAAGCACACTGCACCGACAATCAATTTATTCAATTTTCGATGAAATCACAATGGTACATTGATAACAAAATGTTTGGTCTTTTTAAGCCGGGCGCGGATGCAAGTACATGCACTGTTACACATTTATATTTTGACTATACGGCGATGATAAAATGCAATCAGTTGAGAATCGATTATTTTTGTCCAATAATAATATGGCAATCAATGCCATTCTCTTCAGTTTTTCCATCTCTCATCCACATTTTGACTCGTTTTTTTTTTTCAATGTGCATGAGTCGTAACAATATCAATACTTTCTTTCGCCAACACTGCTTTCTGATTGACACTGTCACGGTGTTGATTGTTTGACATTTATGGCACCCTAGTGCAAGATTTTTGACTCATTGCTCAATTTTCAGTCGATAATATTAGGAAAACCAATTTAAAAATAAAACTGATCGAAATTAATTGATTATTAATAGTTCAGTGAAATAGTCCAATCGATTATTAGACAAATTAACGTGATTTTAATCATTTTTACGGTATATTCACTGAAGTTGATCGAAATTATATACAACTCAATCAGTTTATTATCAGGTGTTATTCAAAAACGAACCATAAATTTTCATTCGGCCACCAAAATGTTCGATCATTGCATTTTTACGAATTTAAGAGAAACAAAACTTTATACTTTTTATGCCATTTTTCTCATTTTTTGTTTCCGATTTCCTAATTTAGCAGGGATTTTTTGAGCAAATCCGTTTGTACTCAATTACCAATTTTTTAGTGTGACCCTCAATGATTTTCACCAAAAGTGCACAATTTTTTTAAAATTCCAAGATTTTTATCATTCAATCAAGTTTATTTTTCACAAGGGCACCTGATGACGATGTACCAGAGCCCGTGAACTGATGGAAATATTTTTATATCATCGAGAATTGCATTGCAATTGATTTTTCCACGGGTTTTTAAAATTACATTTGAAATATTTCAATTACAGTAAAAAAACGGCATGTAAATTTTTCGAAATAACAATATTATTTGTGCTTTCATGATTTTAAATGATAAATCCATTGGTATGTGTGAAGGTTATATGTAATTATCATGTTCTGTTGATTGTGTGGAAGTGCCGGTGTGAAAACATTGTACCAAACAATGATTTATTTTTCTCACCGATGGGGATCATTGATTTTTCATAGGTTCTACTTTTTTTTATCTTTTCACTTTTTTCTTTAGAAAAAAAAAATAAAGCGAAACAAATTTGATGCATAAAACGAAAGAAGATTACATTGTAAAAGTATCGAGCACAAGTACCGAAGAGAAGGGAGAAAAACATGCCCAAAAAATTAAGACGTCCTGACGATTAACTTCATTTTATACTCTTCAACAAAAAGAAATAAAACGAAATCATGACGCTTATAAAATTATATTGCTGAAATAAATCCAAAGTTTGTTTGTTTTCTTTCCCGCTTTCGCTTGTCCCTTCACATGTTTTCGCATTTTTTCTTGTATATTTTCTAATGTTATTGTTGATGTTTTTCATTCGTTATTTATTCCAACCCAAATAATATTATGTGCACACGGTTCTCACTCTCTTATTTTGGGTGTGCAGTACACACGCATCATCATCATCATCTTATGTTTTCGATTTTGTTGTTATTGTTATTGCTCCTTGTTGCTTTGCTCGTCATCTGTTACATGCAAGTTTTTTAAGACCTTAGTCATGAAGAAGCAAACGACATCAAAAAAACTTATTGCATTATCCGTAACCACAGCATAAAATTGTGTACATTTATACACCTTTTATAATATAGGCTCTTCGTAACATCTAATAAATTTGGTTTTCACCTGCGCATCGAATGACATCAATTACATGTTTTATGTTGAACATTTTTCATACAAGCAAGTACAAGTTTTTCTCTTATGGAATTCGTTCACTTAAAGAAAGCGAGAGCTAACGAACCCATTTTACATAATGATTATGATGATGATGATTTTCCATGCATATATAGAAAGTTAGCAAATCAGAGAAAAAGAAACAAAATACTCACTTAAATAGTGCTTAGCTTATACTATAGGAATGAGATTTGCAAATAAAATGACCAAGACTTCAATCCAACAATCCAAAATTTATATGAAAATATTGTTAACCTTGAATGACTCAACGCAGCACACACCCCATTTTAGCAAAGTCATAGTTTGAAACAAATTACAATTGCATAAAGTTAAGTTTATTAAACTAAGATGTTCTGTTTAACCATGTGTCCAAATTTATTTATTTTTTTCACATTTTCTTTTTACAACAAAGCTCTTTTCCCTTAATCTTCAATTGTTTTTTCTTTCGCCAACCGAAAACTTGTTCATCAGTTGCATTTGTGTTTAATAAACAGCTGGACAACAACAACGACATAAGCTCACAATATAATGTACTCGTCAAAATGATGTGTTTTCTGCTTTGTTGCGAAACAAAATATGTGGCGCATCAGCAACATCAAATCTCATAAAGCAGTATCGCTGATAAGCGGTCATTTATGTGCTTCAAAACGGCCACTTATGCATTTGATGGACCATTTTCGAATCCATCGACTTCATCGTCAATACCGTTGTTTGAATCTTCATGTGCGTTTTATTTCACTGCTTATAAAGACGTTCCTGGCATGTGTGTGTGCTTGTTTATTCAATGCTTGTGAAAATATGTGTTGATGCTCATATTATGCTATACGGAAATTCTTCCTATATCAGATGTTTAAGTATGTGGATAATATACATGTGGTGCAAGAAAAAAAATATACTCATCGCACACACACACACACGATGGATTGATTCTCTTCAACTTTTCCAACAGGATGTCGGTGGCATGAAAGAGAATATTAACACTGAACACTTCAACTTTATCCTATTTGAATAAGAAACATGAAATTCAAATTGCCACTATATTCTATATTGTGTCATGTGCATGTCCAAAGTGAGCAACATGTATTCAAGGAAATCGTAAGTTTAAACCGTGTGTGTGTGTGTGTGTTGTATAAGTTTTATGGTCGAAAGTAAAAACGTATAATCACACACTCATATTCAAGCGATAACTTTAACTATGCGGCTGATTTATTTGCTATTCGAGGTCGTTTACTAACTTGTCACATGTTCGATTCACAAACATTTTCGCAACGACGGTTTTTGGAAGCAAAATGCCGTTGAAGCGCCATGAAAACACAATGAAAGCAAACCGTAAACAAACCGATAGAGAAAAAAAAATATGTCAGCATAAAACATTCATATCGGAAAGATAGGCAAATTCGATTGTGTTCATGTGATAAATTGTAGAGGCGAGCTGCTTTCAAACCACTCGAATACACACATTATTGATATAGCCATTTTCAATGTACACAGTGTGTTCGAAGTCGCCTCGTTCGCATTTTTATTTTTAATACATTTTTATGCCAGATATTATTATGTATGTATGCATTTTACTTTTGCCTATTAATTTTATGAATCACAGTTTTTATTACGAACGAGTTAAAATAGTAAAGTTTCTCAAAAAGATCGTGCATTATTATTACTCATTCCTTTTTTACCTCATTGAGGTGAATATACATGAGAAAGACATCGGAAGTCATTCAGTAAATTGTTTATGACCTCTAGAAGAAGAAGAAAAAAAACATGTAGAGAGAAACCAACAACCACACGACAGCAATGACGATGAATAGTACTTTCGGTTTTTATAGCTAAACAACTCGTGTTTTTCGAGTAAGTTGTTTTCAAAACTAAAATCCTTCTTTCGTTCCCTCTCGTTTTGATGAACCGCACTTTTATTTCGTTCGCATATATTTTGCGGTCTATTTGACGTGTTTTAGTATTCGTGTGGAATAGCGGCACTTTATGTGCTCATTTTTCTATTTACATTTCATTTGAAATGCGTACAATCAAGTGAAGTTTGCCGTAAACGCACACAAACTCTTTTTCTACTTCTTTTTTTTTTCTTCCTCTTATTTATTCATTCATTCTCCATTCTCTATTACTATGAATGACTTCTCTGAATTATTTTAAGTTGAATTTTCTCTTATCTAGTATCTATATGCACACACACATAGCCGCACACCGAATAAATCAGAAAAATGTGATTTAGCACAGTTATTTAGCAAAAAGACGTACTCCCGACATGAATTAGGGTAGAGCACATTTTCTTAAAATTTCAAATAAAATTCATTTTTATCTAATCTGCACCTAAATTATCCCCGACATGATACTATCCTTTGGAAATGTAATTTTTATCCATAAAACGAAATGATGAAAGTTTAAATTCATTCTGAATTGACAATTTAGAAAGAGAGAGAGTTCGAAAGAGCACCACCCTAGTATTCAAACTCGTCCTAACACTTTACAAAAGAACGCATTGCATACACGTGCAAATAGACAGTTGATTCCGGTTGTCATATTTAAAAAAAAAGAATGAAAAATATGATGAGTGGCTTTAAGTGTGTGCATTCTCAACGATACGCACCTTTATTTATATGCTTTCTCCTGTCACTTGCCCAGCATTTGCGTGTGATTTTTGCTGCTGCTTGGTTAAATCAGACACATATATATTCTTTCTGGTTGCTATC